GTCTAAGTCGGCTTCACGCTCCCCTGCAGCTCCTGCACCTTGAACCTCTGCTTATGTGTCTTGTAGTTGAGCGCCTTGACATCCAAACCTTGAGAGATTTTCTTATGCCTCTCGCTTCTCCTCGGCATCTTTACACCCAACACCTCTCGGGTCTCGTACCCTTCAACGCGTTCATCCTCCTTAAGCACTTGCCCCTTTGCAGTTGCATTCGCCTTTGATCCTTTCACCATGATGTCCCCTTTCACCGCTTCAACTCCCACATACTTCGCATTTACTGCTTCATCTTCAACCACGATCTTTGCTGCAAAAGTGTTGACATCGTCTCCATCTCCACCGTTTACTGCTGCTGCATCCGTGATCACTATCTCCTCTTCCTGCTTCACAGCTGCCTCCACACTCGCTCCCGTATCATCCGTGTCCTCGCTCTTATCAACCTTAGTCAATAACTCCTCCAGTTCTCCCATCTCACCATACTCAGGATCCTCATAGATCTCATCCATATCATTCATCGCGACCAAGTTCATCTCATAGAACCCGTCACTGAAGTAACCATCAGCATACTTCTCCTACTCAGGACCAAACACAGTCACCTCATCACTGTCATAGAATATCTTGCACCCCAAGTCATCAAGCTGTGACTGACTGACCAAGTTCACCTTCAAATCCGCAACCAGCAACACACTCTCCAGTTTCACTACTCCATACGGACTCCGCAGCACCACGTCACCCTCTCCTGTCACTGGCAACTTTCCACTGTTACCTTGCAGTATATAATCCTCACTCGACTCCCTCACATTCTCCATCCAATCTGAGCTGAATGTCATGTGACGCGTGCATCCGCTGTCCATGAACCATGTCGACTTCTCACGTCCGTCCATCTGCCGAACCTCCATTGGTAAACGCACCACGTTCGCAAGATGTGCTCCCCCCAAAATCGGATCCTCTTCTTCCTTCTCCGCTTCCGCCACGTTAGCCTTGGCCTCCACGTTTTGCTGCTGCTCCTGCTTCAACGGTTCTTTGTAGTTACGGTCGTTGGGATTCAAGTAGCAATCAATTGCACGATGCCCAATTTTCTTGCAGTGATGGCACGCACCATTGAACCTTCCGTGTTGCTGTCCACCACTCCATCCCGCACCGTTCCCTTTGTAGTTTCTGCTTCTCGGGTTCTCCACGCACTCAAACACTTTGTGTCCCATCTTTCCACACTGGTAGCAAGCTCCCACGCTCCTTCCAGCGGCTGCCGCGTTCACCAACGCAGGCTTCTCCTCCACAAAGCCCCTTGTAAACTTCTCCCGTCGCTTCTGATGCTCTCTTGCTCGCTCCAACGCCTGAAGCATGGCAATAAGCTTCGTCATATTCTCCGGTGGGTGGCAGATCAATGCCGGCCGCTCACCCGACCAATCTTCAGGTAGCCCCTTGACGATGTGCCCTATCATCGCCCTTTCAGTTTCCGGCTCGCCCATCGCAGTCAAGTCATCATTGTAGCTCCTCGCCATGTTGACGTAGTCAATAATCTTCTGGTTCGGCTACATGGTCATCAGCAGCAACTTCTTCCTCACATCGGCGATATTCGCGTCCATGTGCCCGAGGTATGTAGACTCCATGTATGCCCATGCCGCCTGTGCAGAGTTCTCGTGCTCTGCAAATTCGTCCAAACCCACTGCAATCCCGTTAGCAACGGAATGACATAACTGAAAAAACGCATGCTTACTCCTCTTCTTGTTTTCCGCCTTTTCTTCATCCGATCTCGCCTTACGCGCGGCTGCGTCACCTTCTCCATCCGGTCGGTAGTACTCCCAAAAACCGACTTCCTTCGCCCTCCTTATGAACTTCAATCTCCACGTGCTGTAGTGTTGGCCGTGGAATCGTTGGGCTTCAGTGAGCCCCATGGTGGGCTTTGTCACCACCCCCAGGGCTAACTTTAGTGCCAGGGCCTGTCGGATAGTAAGACCGGGTCCTGGGTCCTTGTCTGATGGTCAGACGAAAGTTGAAGCCTAGTCTTACATTTCAGACGAATAAAAAGCACTTGTCAGAGCCTTCAGACGGGATTAGAGGGTTAATCTTATTGCAAGAAGATTTCCTAGCCTACGTAGTTCCTAAGATTTCCTAGCAGATTATGTAACGACATTCTTTCCTAAGAAGAATCACTTGCACTACTGCTGTCACTGTCATCACTACCACTGCCACTGTCACCACTACCACTGCCACTCTCAGAGGTTTCAACAATTGTGGCCTTGGATTTGCCCTTCCTCCAGGTAGGCAGCTCCCACGCAGCTTCTTCTGCAGCCCTCTCTCTCTCCTTTGATGCAGCCTCTTCTGCCTCTTTCCGTGTGCGTGTAGCTGCTTCTGGTGCAGCGCGCTTCTTCTGGTGATGGGATCGCCGTCGCTTCACCGGGCGTGATCCTTCAGCCATGACCACCTCTCGAGCCGGCCGCCTCTTCTTGCTGGCATACCACCTATCCACAAGCTCCTCTGTGTTCAGCTCGTAATCCAAAAGGGACACCGTCATCAGGTCGCCCAGTGTCGTGTCGCACAAGCTGCCCCCCACCCAGCTTTTGATGATGTTCTGGCGGCTGAAGCCACGCTCACACTCAACAGTGCTGAGTGGTAGCACAGCAACAGCTATCCACAGGCGGCCGAGGTTCGGATAGGCTGACTCCCATTCCGGCGTTGAGAGCATCTGCGACAGGCTGTCGTGGAAGGACAGGTCTTCGTGGTGATGGGAGAGGATTGTTGTGAATCTGGTGAGCTCCTTGGCGGCTTTGCCCCAGTCAACACCTGAAGGTGAGGGGTAGGGTAGGGTGTGGGACATCGGATATCATTGCAGAGAGTCAATTCTTGGCACGGCAGCAATAACGGAACAAGTAAAAACGCAGGTTTAAAAACAGACCGCTTACCGGGGAGGGTGTCTGGATGGTTGGGCTTCTTCTTGAACAGGTTGCGCAGCAACTCGAGCCATTCGGGAAAATGACGCGCTCTCTTAGCGCGCGAACGAGGGTACCGTCCCTGCCGAAACAGACGGGCCCCGTCCAACGACTTGAGACTCTTCATGCGATCCTCAATGAAGAACACAGTCCTCCCAGCGAACTTAGATGATGCCTCCACGCACGAAGCCAGGTCGCCCCCAAACTTCTCCTTCCCGATTAGGTCCTCGTGCAGCAAGTAGGTGTGAGTCACGGGTTCTCCCGCGGTGTCGATGCTTTCGACCTTCACTTCGCGTTGCTCAGTCTCCCGTGGTTCTTCAGGAACGTCGCAAGACGACCACTGTTGTCGCCGAAGGTGGAGCCGTACTCCACATAGCGATTTGTCAAGATCAACGTGGTGTGCTGCACCATCGGCCGAACCTGCGTCGCATCAAGCTGCACATATTAAACAGAAACAGAATTAGTCTCGGCTCACGGAAAGAAAGGATGCAAGGTGTAACTACATGTCCTTGCCTGTCGTCGCTGGAACTTGAGATTCAGGCTGTTCAGCTCCTGAAGCACGTCAACCAGAAAGAAGAGGAAAAACTGAAACTTCAGACTGGTAACAAGAGTGTACGCTGTCTTGTCGTACTCATGCAGCAGGACAAAGGCAGTAGGTAGGACGTCTGCAAAGCGCTGGATGGCGTCCCCGCGCGACAGCCAGCGGACGTCCTTAATGCCTTGCATCTCCAGGTTGGTCTCTGTGATGACCTCCTGCAGCTTCTTGAATCGCGCATGCTGCACTATGCTGTGGCCAAGAATGTCCGCGAAAGACCGGACGACTTTGTCGACGACATTGAACTCGGGAAATTCTTCAGCAGCATCTTTAGCAGCCAGAGCCTCCCTGCGGTTATAACACGAGTAGGATTAGTCGGAGGACAGCAAGTGTCAGATATATCACAACAGTAAAAACAACACACTACCTGTGGGCCACGCAGTGGCACGGCACAATATGCGGCACCCACGTTCGTAAGCGCGCCACCAAGCCTGTCTGACCGCCCGTCATCACGCTCGCGCCGTCCGTGGTCATGCCGCTGTTCCTTGTCAGTTCGAGGCCGCAAGCAGCAAGGTGTGTCAACAGGACCGCCTCAAGCGACCCGGCGTCGCACTTCTCAACGGACAAGTTCGCGAAGAACTCGGTAACCACCACCGTACCACAGAGAAACGTGGCATACACAATCATGTGTTTGCCACGCCTTCGGTCGGTGCTTTCATCAAGTTGGAGGCCAACAAAGAGACTGATGCTGATGTGCTGCATCTGCTTCGCCTTCAAGTAGCACACCAGCGTTTCGACCAACTGCTTGAAACCATACCTGCGTCAACGAGGACACAAAAGAAATGGTAAGTAAGGGGTATTCAGATACCACAATGATGTAAACATATAAACTCACGTTGAACAATAAGTCCCTTGGTCCTTGGCCGGCATATCTGGCGTCCCCATCTCTGCCATGAACTGCACGAGTGTCATGAACATGACAATGGGGGTGTCAGATTTGCAAAGGAAACGCACGGTGAGAAACAACTGTATCAAACGCCGAGTTTCCGCACTCTTATCTCCAAAGTTGGAGATAGATGGCTGCTTCTTCTGCGGGGCTTCACGCTGCTCCAATCGGTCCTTCGCCTCCCGGTGCCGGATGCTCCACTGATGCTTCCTCATCGTCTGCTTCTGTATGTCGATGCCTCCCTCGCCCCGAGCGCCGTACTGTGACTCAGGATCTGCGTACACCATGCAGATCTTGCACCTCATGCAAGGTCGAACTTCGGCGGTGTCACCGATGATGAGCCAAGGGAAGTGGCGGCTCCACTGCTGCTTGGCTTTTAGCTGCAGCTCCTCTAGCGACAGAATCTTCGGTCCGGCATTCTCGGCTCCGCGGCGCTCCCCTCCATCTTCCTCAGTTGTGGGATTCCCTGCAGAGGAAGGGCTTGGGCGTTTCGAAAACGGAAGCTTATTTTGCACAAATTTGGTCTTGCCAGTAAACCGCGGCGGGAGAAATGGGGAGCGGGATTAGAAGGGATTTTTTCTAGCAGGAATAGATTATGCGACAGGTTGACCGGATGGCGAACCCCCATGGTGGCTTGATGTGGTTGGTGATCGCACGGGTGAAAATGGTATGAGCGGCTCGGCATCCATCTCAGCGAAAGGGTACGGCTGCTCGGCAGAATCGAGTTTCTCATTCTGGCGGGCCGAAGGAGCAACAGCAGCAGCTGAAAACCCCCCCCCGTAAGGAAATCCAAGCCAGTGCGTGGGCGGGGCAACGCAGTGGAAGGAGGTGAAGCATGCAGAGTGGATGCTGGAGGGGCCTCTGTGCGGGGTTCTACTGCCATCTCGGTGGAACTACGCACCGACTGGCTCTGGCTCACGAGGGTAAGATGAAGGTCACCTAATGCTGTGAGGAGTGAGGGGGGACCATCTGAACCGAGCCGCATGCATGAACGTCCTCTTCTCTGCTGGAAGCAGCCACGCCATCCATCCCCCGCTGATCCGACGCGCACTGAGGGCTGTCGGTGTTGCAAATGCAGCCTTCTACCGTGCGCTGGCACGAATATGCCAAACGAACTGGCAAGATTCGTGCCAACGGGGTGACTGCGGCGCAGTGACGTGCGGTGGACCGGTGGTGTTGTCACCGACCTTGGCAATGTATAGCCTGGCAGTGGCATCAAGGTAACGCGGCGGGTGGCTAGTCTCGTCCGTAACTGGCCAGGTGGGGGCATTTGTCTGTTTCAGACGAAAAAAAACTCGATGTCTGCAGTCTTAGACGAATCGTATAAGGCTGTCTGACAAATCAAACGAATAAAAAAAGTTTCTCTTAAAAATCAGATGACATAAAATAGCTTGTCTACGGCATCAGACGAACCAGTAAAAAGGTGTTCAAATTCCAGAAATTCAGGCACATAATTTCTGATAAACTAAGCCCTGACCACCCCTCCTTGCGCTAGCATTTCCAGAAGTGCCTTCACTTGGGGATCTCCAATACTCACAGAGGAGCCCGAACTAGCTTCCGATTGTCCGCCGACCATCTCGAAAGCTTCGCTCTGCACTTAAGAATGCTTAAACGCCACTTAAACAAGCTCTGATACCAGTTCTCAGGATCGTAAACACCTTAGTCGGCAATAGTCTACTTGCTATCGCCTATCGTGTTCTCCACGATCTGCCGAATCCGACGATATGCGCAGCTCTGCTTGAAGTCGTCAAGACACACTTCAGCAATTTTCAGAATCTGATTGGCATGATTTCCAGAATGAGTACAAGCAGTTTTAGTCAGGCAAGACACAAAATGCGATTCGTAACTTCACTTGTTTCCCAAGTAACCGCGTGCGCCTCGTTTCACCCCTAGTCGCACACGCAACCGAACCGAATTCGGTGAACACTCCGCAAGTCCGAATCCCGAACTTTCTCGAGCGCGCCTTGGTCTCGAAGCACATTTTTCCCCTCGTCAATCTCATTCTCGATGCTTCTCCTTCTCTCTCCCTCCTAGCACATTTCTTCTCGATTTCTCTCCCGCTTCTCACGCCGTAGCCTCTATTCCCCACCGTAGGCCGATTTCCACCGTTTCACACACGCGCTTCCATTTCGCCGTCATTCCGCCGTCGTAGGTTTACGATGCTTTCGCCTTAGGTTCCGTGGTTGGGCGAACCAACCCTAACAGCTCCCTCCCTCGCTTGCTGGCCCTGTCCCCTCTCTATCCCCCACCACATCTCCCCCCCCCCCCCCCCCCTCCACCCCCCAAGGGCGACGCTGCACGTGGGGTGCGTCAACCTCAACATCACCACTTTTGCCACCTCGCCATCCCCATGCCACCCCCATCCCCCACCCGTGCGCTTCCTCCCCCTTCCCCTCCCCCCGCAGGGCGACGCTGCACGTGGGGTTTGGCAATCTTAACTTCTCCGCCTCCTTCGCTCACCACTTCAACCGCACTCTCCAGCACATTCTCGCCTCCTGGCCAGTCACAATCACGCTACGTGGCAATTTGCAGGCCAAAACCGACACTCCTGGCATTAGTGGCAGCAGCAGCGGCAGCACAGGTGGCAGGAGTACCACCAGCACAGCTGCCACTCATTCAGAAGCAGGCGAGGGGCAGGGGGAGGGGAAAGGGGAGGGGGAGGGGCAGGGGGAGGGGAAAGGGGAGCGGGAGGGGCAGGGGGAGGGGAAAGGGGAGGGGAAAGGGGAGGGGGAGGGGCAGGGGGAGGGGAAAGGGGAGAGGAAAGGGGAGAGGAAAGGGGAGAGGGAAGGGGAGGGGGAGGGGGAGGGGGAGGGGGAGGGGGAGGGGGAGGGGGAGGGGGAGGGAGAGGGGGAGGGGGAGGGGGAGGGGGAGGAGGAGGAGGAGCAGGAGGCAGCACGGGATTGGCCAGATTCTCCGTGCAATGGGACGTCAGTGCCAGGGCGATGGGTGGTGAAAGCGAATGGGTCACTCAGGTATGTCCGTGTCGACAGGTATGGATGGGTGAAGCTGGGTGCGGATGGATGAAGCTGGGTGCGGATGGGTGAAGCTGGGTGCGGATGGGTGAAGATGGGTGCAGATAGGTGTAGATGGACTGTGTGCGTGGCCGAATGAGTGTGGATAGTCTTTTGAGGCGCCTCAAACAACCTTCCCTCCTTCCGCACTCCCCCCATCCCCCCATCCTCCCTAGATTGGCTCCTACCATTGTACGGCCCCTCAAAGCCCCCCGTTCGAGTGGGTGTCAAGCACTTTATTCCCCATCCCCACTCGCCACTCCCCATCCCCATCCCCACTCGCCACTCCCCACTCGCCATCCCCACTCGCCACTCCCCACTCGCCATCCCCACTCGCCACTCCCCACTCGCCATCCCCACACACCACTCCCCACTCCCTATCCCCACTCGCCACTCCCCACTCGCCGCTCCCCACTTGCCATCCCCACACGCCACTCCCCACTCGCCACTCCCCACTCGCCATCCCCACTCCCCACTCCCCATCCCCACTCGCCACTCCCCACTCCCCATCCCCACTCTCTACCCATCCCCACTCCCCATCCCCACTCTCTACCCATCCCCACTCCCCATCCCCACTCCCCATCCCCACGCCCCACCCCCACTCCCCCTTCCCCCGATCCCCCATCCCCCCTCCTCCCCAGATGGGCATTTTACCGGTGCACGCACCCTGAAACTCCGTCTTCTGACTGGATAGCCGCGTTGCACGAGAGGGGCATTTGGGAGATCAGCGTCGTGGGGGAAAGCCACCAGCGGTACCTGGCAGCACACCTGCACTTGCTGCTCATCTGCACTTTCTCCCTGCTCACCGTGCACACTCCCGCTCCCCCACTCCCCCACTCCCCCACTCCTCCACTCCCCCACTCCCCCACTCCCTCAGTTGGGCTTTCTATTGCTGCACCCCCCGGGAGACTCCCCCATCGGACTGGATAGGCGCGCTACACGCCAAAGGCATTCATGAGGTCAGCATCGTGGGGGACAGCCACCAGCGGTACCTGGCAGCACACCTGCACTTGCTGCTCACCAGGAAGGCGGAGAGGGGTGTGAAGCGGCGGAGAGACAACCTGGTGTTCCACCCGCGTGACAGCAGCAACCGCACGCTGAGGATTAATTTCTTCTGGATCGATGAGATCTATAAGAACGGGGAGTTCGGCTGCGCGTGAGTGGTTGGGTCAGAGCTGGTTTTTGAGAATTCTCAAAAACCAGATCTATAAGAACGGGGAGTTCGGCTGCGCGTGAGTGGTTGGGTCAGGGTCAGGGTCAGGGGTGACTGTTTGGTGAGTTGCGACAAGACAACCTCGTGTTTGATGCGCGTGACGGCAGCAGCCGCACGCTGCGAATCAACTTCTGCGCGTGAGTGGTTGGGTCAGGGTCAGGGTCAGGGGTTACTGTTTGGTGGGTTGCAATGAGTCTGCTTTTGAGTCGACTCAAAAGCATATTCGGCTGCGCGTGAGTGGTTGGGTCAGGGTCAGGGGTGACTGTTTGGTGAGTTGCAATGAGTTGAATGGTGGAGGGGATTTCCCAGGTGGGCGCACCTGAATGGTGGAGGGTACATGCATCCAGCTCACCGCACATGAGGGAGGGGCACAACTGTGGCACGGTGGCGGGCGGGAGGGACAGCCTGGTGTTTCATGCGGAGAGACCTGGCGTGACAACAGCAACCGCACGCTGAGGATCGACTTTTACTGGATTGATGGAATTCACTTCTCCAGTACAACAACGGGGAGTTCGGCTGCGGTGGCGGGAGGGACAACCTGGTGTTTCATGCGCATGACAGCAGCAACTGCACGCTGAGAATAAAAAATTCATTGGATTGATGGGATCTATAAGAACAGCGAATTCGGCTGCGCATGAGTGGTTGGGTGAGGGTGATTAGTGTTTTAAGTGTGATTTCCAAGTGGAGGTTCGAGTTGAGACTCTCAACTCTGAGAGTAATCCGCAGCAGCAACCGCACGATGAGAACAATATTTTATTGGATCGAGGGGATCTATAAGAACGGGGACTTTGGCTGCCCGTGAGTGATTGGTTCGAACGATGACTCGAACGGGGCTTGAAGGGATTAAATGGGATTGAATGGGATTGAATGGGATTGAATGGGCTTGAATGGGATTGAGTGGGCTTGAATGGGATTAAACGGGATTGAATGGGATTGAATGGGATTGAATGGAATTGAATGGACTTGAATAGGATTGAATGGGATTGAATGGGCTGAATTGGCTGTTCCCTCTCTTCTATCCCCATTTCCGCACCCCGCTTTTGCCTCCCTCCCTTCTCCTTCCCTTTCCCCAACTCCTTACCAGCTCCCCCAATCCCACCCCCCCGTCCCCCACCACCAGCAATCGGGGTCAGACCACCAACCAATCAGAAGAATCCCAAACACCTCTACTACTGCTTCCCCCTCCTTCCCACCTCCCTTACTCAATCCCATTCCCCCTCTCTTCCTCCCACTGAATCCCCTCCTCCCCCCATCACCAGCCATCGGGGCCAGACCACCAACCGATGGGAAGCCTTCCCAAGCATCTCACCCACTGCTGACGTCACGCTGTTTGAAGGAGGCTAATGGGTAGCTTCCTTCTGCCGCCAGCCCCTCAAGGCGCTCCGAGTGCACCTCGAGGAGTTCGCTCGCTGGGCGCTTGCCGCCGCGCCCGCAAAAAGCCGGGTTATCTTCCGAACTATCCCGTCTTTTCCAGTGGCTAAGAACCGGGTGATTATGGCAGTTAATGTGCTGCTGAAGAGGATATTCCAGGGGGGGAGAGTCTGGCTGGAGGAGGGAGGAGCGGGGGGAGAGGGAAGAGGTTTGGAGAGATTAGAGGAAGGGAGGATAGGAGGGGTGCAAGAGGCGGATGTTGGTGGGGAAGGAAGGAGAAGTGGAGGAGGGGTAGAGAAGCTGGTGTATCTTGATTCGAGCCTGCAGGTGCTACCGCAGGACTCTGAGGAGGAGGGGGAAAATACGGAGAGAGCAGGATCACCATCACCATCATCGCCATCACCACCATCACCACTACCAGCAGCAGCAATCCGCTGAGCTGGCAGCGTTGCTAGCAGGGGAAGCAACAGTGCTGGACACGTGGCAGGTGGACGGGCCTCGGTATGCCGACACAGCAGTCCCCAACGACCATCATTACTCGGTAGTCCAGCCCACATCAGAAGGGGCAGTGGTGGTGGGGGGCGTGGGGGAGGCTCAAGTGCATGCCTTCATTCATTACCTGCTGCACCTGCTGCCCCCACCCTCTCCACGCTAGTCCAGCAGAGCCCAACGACCATCATTACTCCATGGTCCAGGCCACTTCAGAAGGGGCAGTGGTGGTGGGGGGCGTGGGGGAGGCTCAAGTGCGCGCCTTCATTCACTACCTGCTTCATGTGCTTCCTCCACTCCGTGCAAGCGCACTCTAGCTGCTGGTTCTGCTCTGCTCTCCCCAACCAACAAGCACCAATGGTGCGGCCAACAGCAGAGGGAAGGAGGGAGTGCAGCTGAACGCCCCTCGGTATGCCGACACAGCAGTCCCTAGCGACCATCATTACTCCATGGTGAAACCGATAGCACAAGGCGTAGTGGTGGGTGGTGGGGGACGTGGGCGAGGCGCAAGTGCGCGCCTTCATTCACTACCTGCTGCACCTGCTCTCTCCACTCCAAACGACATCTCTGTAGCTGCTTGCCTCATGGAGGGAGGGAGGGAGGGAGGGAGCTATATAACAATTATCATGAGCTACGTTGACCCGGATAGAAGCGCACCCTTTTAAAGCCCAGCCCCCGAATTACAAAGAGGCCTTCACAAACTGTCGCCAGGTTGTGTCTCGCTCCTACAGGTTTCGGGAAAGAAAGGTTCAGGGGAGGTTTTCGAATCTCAAATCTCTGCTTTCCCAATTCTGTTTCCCCGCGTTGACTTCCGTTGAGTAATTCGGGTGTTGCCCTAGTGCATGCGTTTATATCCGGGATTGCAGCATTGCGCCGAATTCGCACACAAATATGGGTGAAAGTCGCCACCAATCAGATTTGTAAACTAGTTCCTCATGTTTTCCGTTCAGATCAAGACTCGTCTGGGATGAAAGAAGGTAAAAACGCACAGGCCGTCAACTTTTCAAACGTTCGTAACAACCGTCATCACCCGGATAGAAGACATATACTTGTTATCTCGTGCACTAGAACAAATGGGTGGGTTATCTTGTATTTGGGGAGGTTTTGGGTGTCTTATAAGTCTTATAATTGGACAAAGAACCATTTAGAAGATACCCCCTCGTTATAAAATTGCCCCTAACCCTTACAATGGCTTAACTCGTACACACAAATAGGTGTCTCATAATGAGGATAGCCTGCTTATAATAGACACCCGGATAATAGACAACGCCTGTCTACTATTCAACACTGTCTACTATCCGGGTGATGACGGAAACTTGTGTTTTCAAGTGGACCCAACTAGAAGGGGGGGGGGGGGGGGGGGGGTCACTATTTTAGCTGCTGGCTCTAAGCGCACTTTAAACCAAGGCTGTTTTTTATTTATATCTATAAAAACTTATCGTAGTTTTTGAACAAAAATACAAGGCAGCAGACTATGACATTACCACACTGTCCATCTTATTACATTGCATATCTGTCCTACTGCCCGCTCAGTCCCGACATAGAGTAGCTAGCTGTTGAGATAGAAAGCAGGAATGAACAGCAGAAGAGGGATTGCACTAGCAGCAGATAGGATACATATAGCAAACCCTAATTTGAGTTGTACTCACTATAAAGTACCCCATTGCAGACTAGACAATTATAGCATTCGGACACACCCCCATAGGCAAAGTGGGGAATGATCAGCACAACAAGCAGTCGCATAAGAAGTTCATAAGCACAAGCAAAACTAGAGGCAGTCACAGAGGGCAAGTGAGGTGGAGGAGGGACTGTGAGAGGAGTGGAGATAGGAGGCGACGGGTGAAGCCGCAGACACACGAACAACAGGAGTGGCGCGCACGGTGGCTACCGGACACAAGCAAGGGTATCCGAACTACTGGAGTCACTGGCTCCGTGGCTAAGACGAGCGGCTGGAGCAACGGACCTACGGGCGACTGGCGCAGCAGGCTCGCTGGACTACCGGAGCAAGGGTGTGTCTGAACATTATAGCTTATGCTGTTGTGTAGGGTATAGTGGGGTATCCCATAGGGGGTACAACCCAACTAGGGTTTCATATTTGTACTTGCTTCATTCATAGTTCACATCATTCTCGTTCTAATCTCCACATGGTATCGAGCAGGTTCCCCCGTGGGAACTGTGCCTAGGGCCCACCACATTGATCTTTTTTTTCCTGCCCGAAGCGCGCTCGGCCCGAGTCGCGCTCCGGGCTCTTACGTCGTCGAGCCGCCCTAGCGGCCTCCCCACGACCTACCTGCGGCCCCGCCGCCCTTTACTGCGGCTCGCGCCGCCCCTTCCCTGCGGCTCGCGCCGCCCTTCCCGGCCCGTCGGCGCCCTCGCGCCGCCCGTCCCGGCCCGTCGGCGCCCTCGCGCCGCCCTTCCCGGCCCGTCGGCGCCCTCGCGCCGCCCGTCCAGGCCCGTCGGCGCCCTCGCGCCCCCCTTCCCGGCCCCATGCCGCCTGTCCCGGCCCGTTGCTGCACGGCCTGGCGCCTCCCTAGCGGCGTCGCGTGCCGCCCTTACCCGCGGCCCTACCCGTCGCCCTACCTGCGGCCCTACCTGCAGCCCTACCTGCGGCCCTACTGCCGCCCTTACCTGCGGCCTTCCCGCCGCCCTACCTGCGGCCCTACCGCCGCCCTACCTGCGGCCCTACCGCCTCCCTGCCTGCGGCCCTACCGCCGCCCTACTTACGGCCCACCCGCCGCCCTACTTGCGGCCCACCGGCGCCCTACTTGCGGCCCACCCGATGCCCTACCTTCGACCGCCGCGCCGCCCTGAACCAGCGCCGCCGAGCCGCCCAGCGGCAGAACCACCGAGCCGCCCGGCCACCGCGCCGCCCTGAACCAGAGCCGCCCAACAGCAGAGCCGCCGAGCAGCCGAGCCGCCCAGCCGCCGAAACGCCCTGCCGCCCAGCAGCCGAGCCGCCCTGCCGCCGAGCCGCCCTGCCGCTGAACCGCCGAGCAGCAGAGCCGCCGAGCCGCCCTGCCACCGAGCCGCCGAGCCGCCCTGCCGCCGAGCCGCCCAGCAGCCGAGCCGCCCAGCAGCCGAGCCACT